CACCTTTTGCATGTTGCATGACTTACAGCGTTCTCTCCATATGCAGCACAAATCATTTCAGTGGCTTCAGCAGCATTTTTCTTCAGATGAAACGCGAAGTGGATGGAAAATCGAATATGCTCTTTTGTAATTGCCATCGTGAACACTACTGATTTTTGAGGTTATGTGCATCAAACGCCAAACCGTATCGCATTTCAGGAGGTTAAATGTTACTGTTTTAAAACCCCAAAAGGGCGGGAAGATATATAAAATTTAAATTGTTATTTCGGTTGTATCAAATCTAAAGCTCAGAACTTTTTTGTACACATAATATATAAGTTGAACCAAACACAAACAAAATATAAATAAAATCACTTTAAGTTTTTTATAATCAAATTATCAAAATTAAATGGAGTTGTATATATTATAAAGGAAGAGAGAATACAGATTATTCAACACTTACATTAGTCATGAAGGTAAATATAAATTATATATATTGGTAAGTTTGCAGCAGTTACTATATTTTATTTAGTTATTATAGTTACTGCTATTACAAATGCAAAGTATAGAATTTAGAGTTAACTATTCTGTAATATAAGATAGATCTTGTCTGAGAGACTGTGAGAAAGTATAGACGCAAATGATATCACATATATGAAAATTTCAAGAGACAAAGAAACTGAGCGCTGTCGTTTTTGTTATTCGAAATTAAATTTAATAAATAAACATAAATTTATATGTCTATTTCGATGTCTTTTTTCAAATTTATACCATTTATTATAATTATTCTTTTATACGCAATGTTTCAGAAATGAGTCTTTTATTATAATTTGATTCAGTATCCATTATTCTGAAATTTTTCCAATCAAAACTATGATTGTATTGCAATACATATTTCGTTATAACCGAATGTCTAGATGAGTCAAGCTTTATATTAGGTTAAGTAAAAAGTCATCGCGTTTTTTTAAAAGACATCTATCAGTAAAAACCGCAATTACTTTCTTACCAACAATATAAATATATCTTAATAGAGTAAAGTTTCAGCTTTAAAAATCTCTTTTTTAAATTATACGATACGACAATTTTTAATGGAGTTATGAGCAATTAAAGTCAAAATAATTCTTTTATTTAATCCGCGATAACTCAGTAATCAAAAGTCGTAGGAATATTAAAAAAAAACGATTTTGTAGGGAAAGTATCAAGCTTTCACGATAGGTAATTGAAAATTTTCTCAAATTCGTTTTGGACACGTTACAAATCCACAAAGTGAGAAGAAAATTTTTCGTCTTTTTCAGCTCGTAGTTTTTGGTATGTAAAAATTATCAAACTCATATAAACTTAAAAAATGTGATAAGCTTTTAAAAGTAGAGATTTCAAGCTTTAAAACCCTTTTTTTTTAATTTGAATTTCATTCATTATTGACGAAGATATTGTATATACAACTTTGAGCTAAAAAATACGCGATGACTTTTTACTCAACCTAATATTATTAATATGCTCATTTATTCTGGTATTAAGTTTCCTCTTCGTCTGTCCCACATAAGAAACGTCGCAATTATTACATCGAATTTTATAAATTACATTATTATTGTCAGAATATACTTTTTTGTTTTTATATATATGCTTTTATTCAATTTGTTGATGCATTTATAACGTATACTATAAACTGATTTACTAATCATGTGTGGCTGACTGTGTGACACTGCGAATAAATAAAAGTACAAAAAACTTTTTTTTATTAGAAATTACTTAATTATTAACAGGTTGTCATCATTCTTGCGTGGAATTTTTGTTATTACAAAAGTGACTAAATATAATATGGTTGTGTTATATATCATCTATTATTAACTCGAAGGTACGATGATCCTTATAAATTTTTTATACCGTCTATTGTAACTCGAATGTGAGATAATTCTCATAATATATTAATTTAACTTTGATATGGAGTAATTATTTGGAGTATTTCTGCAATTGATGAGAACTAAGTATAATAATCGAAACGTACCGGTGAAACTTATCATCAAAAATTACAATTTGTGAATAAAAAATATTACTTTGTTACATCTAACTATAGCTTGTTATTGACTGGGTTTACTATTTAAAGGAAAGGCCCCTATACGAGATAGTTCATTTTGGGTAAATGATGGAGGTTTATGGACAGAATTTAAAAAAATAATATCATTTTAAAGGGAATTTAATAAGCTTTAATAATAAGATAATGTTATGTAAAATTTAATTTAAATTCCATTTTTTTTTTAAATTAGAGAAATGTAAAAAGTGAGCAAAAATCATAGAGTCAAAAAATTGTGTTCCTAATATGAGATGCCCCGAGAAATCGATAATAAAATGCAAAGTATATCAGTATTATAACTAAAAAACTTTATTTAATGTTTTTTAAATACAAACAAACACAGCCAGAGTGTGCAAACAATGAATATACGATATATTATTATTATACTCAG